GGGCCCCTGCAATGTAAGGGAAGGAGAGAGCCACCAGGAAAGGCTTCTAGAAGGATTCCGGCCCGTGGGGAGGGGATGAGGAAGAAGAAGGAACAGCAGACTCTAGGAGGCAGGAACACAGGAGCATATTTCTAGAATGGAGTCTGGCTGGTCTAGAGGCCCAGGTGCAGGGGTTTGGGTGCAGGCATGTGAGTAATAAAAACAACATAGCTATGATAAAGAACACTGCTATCATTTATGGAGTGGGAAACCAAGCTGGAGAGGTGGGGTCTGCAGGACCAGAGCTGTCAGGGCCTGTGCGAACCACTGAGGGAAATTACGTCGTCTAGTCATTATTTTGCAAAGATCACACTGGTTGGGGAGTCTGGCTAGGAGCTGTCACTATTGTAGGGGAGAGAAGTGGGCAAAGATGCGTGGCAGGTGGAACCCCAGGACCCGGTCCCCCGGGGTGGGCCAGGGTGGCAGCAGGTGCTGTTTGAGGGCGTGGAAGGGCCACGTGAGAGGAGGCCAGGGGCATCAGTGCAGGTGGGGGAGGGGCTGGGGCTTGGCTGGGGCCGGGAGCTCCTGCCTGCAACCGCGCTCCCCACGTGGTTCCCGCTACTTGTTCCTCCCCCCGCCCCGCCCCCCCCCCCCCCAGCTCTGTCTCAATCCGGCTGACTCGGGAAGCGGCACCCTGGGCCTCGACTGCTCTCGCTGCATCTGTCACTTTCGTGAAGCCGACCAAATGGGGCCCCACCATCACCGGCCTGGTGGGCGGGCGTGACCCAGGGGGCCAGAGGTGGGCGCCGGGCCGGGCGGGGCCGCAGGGGTCACGGGGTTGGGGGTCGGGGGGCGCGGGGCCCAGGAAACCGGCCAGGAGCCGGGACCCGCCCGTGTTGTCGGGGCGGCCGCCGCGCCCCCAGCGGCGCCTCGGGGGAACTGCAGCGCCGCTCAGGCCCGCCCCGCGCACGGACAGCACAGAGCGAGCGCGCCCCCTGCGGGTCTGTCCTGCACACGGTCCCAGCGCCCGCTTCAGGGAGGCGGCTTTGTGGACTGGTGGACTCGGAAGGGGGTAGTCGCGCTGGGCCCCCGACCAGCGCCTCGTATTGGGGTGAGGGCAAGGTGGTTGGCTTGGCCGAGGGAGACCTTCGCCGACCTCTCCGGGCGCCGCCTCCCACTTGCCGGCCCTGCCCATACGGATGCATGGGGTCGGAGGTTCCTGGGACCTACACACAGGACCTGCCACAGGCCTACCCCCATCAGGGTCATGGCTCTCCCTGGCATTTGTCACTCAGAAGAAAGGAAAGCTGTGCGTAAGCAAAAGTCCCAAGCATTGTCAATTCACTCATCCATTCTGCCAGCATTTACTGAGTGCTCCTCTGAGCCAGGGCCTGGGCCCCTCCCTGCTGGGGAGCAATGGGGTCCCAGACAGATTTCTTCATTCTCCCCCGGGTCCCTTGCTGCCCGGGGTGCCCTGCTGTGCCGTGCCCAGGCCTGCTGGCTGCTGTTAGCTGGTGCTGGCAGAGCACCAGGAGCAGTCTGCCCCTGAACACAACCCTTGGCTCCCAAGACTGTACCCTGGAGGCTCCACCTGGCAAGGAAGAGGGCACTGGTGAAGGCGGAGGAGGCTGGGCTCTCAAAGAGTCCTTTGTTTCGCAAGGAAGAACTGGAGCTGCAGGCCGGAGGTTATGGTGTAACCCAGCAGGAGGGGGGGCTGATTTATGATTGCAAATGAGACACCCATCCTCCAGCCGGCCCTTGGCAGGGAGACCCTGCCCATGGTCATCCATCTCTGGGCTCCCAATGTGAGGGGACCTTGAGGGGACCTTGGGGTCCTGGGGCTCACCCTTCTCTCTCCACTCCTGCAAGGACACTGCTTGCCAGCCCCCCCACCTCTCCAGCCCAACCTCACCCCCACCTGGTAACCTGGATATGCAAATGAGTGTGGGGCCCCTAGGGTGCAGGCAGCCAGGCCCTGCTCCTCACAGCTCAGCTACCAGCCTCACCATCCCCAGCACCGGCCCACCTAGGCACCACCAGGTCCTTTAGCCCACCCTGCTATGGGGCTGAGCCCGGAGAGGCAGCCCCAGAGACCCAGCCTGGACACGTTGGCCCAGTTTGCAGAAGGAGGCCAGTCTGCCTGGAACCAAGTTCACTCTCGGAGACACACTGGATCGGGATGCAGAGCCAGGAATGCTGGGAGAGGTGAGTAAAGCCCCAGGTCCATCCTGGCGCTGGGGCCAGGAGATTCCTGCTGACCACTCACTGGCTCCCTCCCCACCCCTCGCCACCTTCAACTTGCTTATCGCCCTAGAACTGTACTCAAAAGGGGGTCGCAGCCTTGCCAGAGCCACTGCTTCTCATCTGGTTGAAGAAGAGAGGAAAGGGACAGGTGTGGGCAGAGAGGACCTGAGACTCTTCCTGACTGTGTGGCCCCAGACAAGTCCCTCCCCGACTCTGAGCCTCCCTTGCAGAATGAGTACCTGCCCCACTAGGATTAGGATAGAGCCTCAGGGTAATGGTGCCCGTGAAGACGCACTGAGCACTCAGTCATGGCTCACCTACAGTTGGCTTGCCCTTGGCCAAGGCCTCTGCTACACTCAGCATGGGCGGGCCACAGGCTGGGCTGGGACAGTGCCTCAGGGCCAGTGATGACCCCAGGTGACTAGGACAGCCCTAGAGCCAGGCTCTGCTTTAGCCAATGACCAGCTTGGGACACAGACGGGTCCAGCAGGAGGAAGTTGGGCAGAAGTAGGAGCTGGTCATGGGTAGAGGGCCCCATCCCCTGCAGCCCCAAGGGTGTTTTCTAGCAGCTGCAGTCAGCGCTGGCCCGCAGCAGGGCAGATGGAGGTGTTTTCTAGACTAGGTGGCTGCCACAGTGTGGGGAGAGGGCCAGCAGGAGGAGGCCCCTCCTGAGGATGGGGTTCCTCTGCATGGGCCTCCCTGGTGCTTTTCATCAATGCTGACCCCTCCCACCCACGGCACACTTTCCTTGCACAGATGACCATTGGCCAACACAGCTCGGTGTCTGGGATCCAACCCACAGAGCAATGTGCACTCGGCATCCATGTGTCTACATCACCCGCTGCCCTGCCCCCCATGGCTCTTGGTGCCCTTACCCAACAAGGAGACAGACTGGGTTCCACTCAGTAGAGGAAGGTTAAGAGCTCCGCCCAAGACCACACAGTGTACTGGAGGCCTGCCAATGCCAAGCAAGTGAGCCAGCAGCCCCTGCACAGGCCAGCGACCCCACGCCAGAGCAGGGACCCCTGGCCTGTGGCTGGGAATCAAGAGAGGGGCAGAGTCCCATCACCGAGGAGTGAGCAGGCTGAACAGGCCAGCCTCTCCCCTTTCCTCCACCCCCCACCACCAGCCCCTCCAACCTCATCCGACCACCTTTGTCCTCACACCTGCATGCTCCCTCCTCCCGCTATGGGGATGCTCCTAGCTGCTGAGTATGTCTATTCCAATGATGCATCCGGAACTGGGGAGATAACCACAGGACGGGTTTGGGGACCCACTGGACCCACTGTGAGACGGACCTGAGCTAACAGACTCCACTGACCACCTGACCTCCGTGAGCCCCACTATGACAGTGACGTGTGTCTCCTGGGATTGGTATGAGTCCAGAGCCAGTGAACGGAAGTCTGCTATGTCTGCTGACTTCCTTTCCCCAGTGCACAGTCACCCTGGGGAAAGTCCCTTTGGGGAAGGCTGGGAGAAAGATTAACAATATACATTTTTGGCACTATAGCAGGGTCATTCCTCAAGGGGTCCCCACTTCCGGTTCATTCAAGTTCTGGGTCTGTAAATTGACTCGTCTGGGAATTGAGAGGTCATGACTCTGTTTTTATGTTCCAGTTAGACTTTTGTCCATTCAACCTCGAACTCTTCTGCTCATACGAATTCAGTAGGCGTCCCATCTGTGTCACTTGTAGGAGCACCATGATCAACTAGCCACTGCCATGGACCATCCTGGCTGCTGCTTTGACTCTGCTGTCCATTCCGGTCACCATGCCCATCTTGCCTTTAGCGGTTGAGTGCTGCCAGTTGGCCCTGCCACCCTAGGATCCAATGACCCCCACTGCACCTAGGTCGCGCAAATCAGTGGCAGCAGTTCCCCTGTCATTTCTGGCCCACAGGGAAGAGCGACCACAGGGCTCTGCTAGTGCTGGGACTCCCCGCGCAAATCTGCTCCTCACAGTCGTGGTCAAAGGTGTGTCCCCTGGACCCTCCCCGGTGGGTGAGTCGGGTCTTACTGGACAATCCACCCTCACCTTCCAACCTCCCTGAGCCTCTGGACCCCTTCCTCTATTAACCAAGGCAGGGCTGGCATTTCTGCCCCACTTATTGGGGGCCACCATTTGGTCCACATTTTAGCCAACCAACCAACCAGACTGTTAGAGCCATTTTAAACCCCTGAGCTGCAACATTAAATCCAGAATCTCTGCTGAGTGCGCCTCTAGCAATAAATTCAGCCTGACCCAACTTTACGTTCCTTCCACCATTATCCCACCCCTTATATCCATTCCCACACGTGTTCCCCATATTTCTGTCAATATAAACTGGAAAAATCATGTGGTTCTTTTGGAGCACAGCACGCCTTCTCATGGGTCACATTCCATACCTCCCCCTGCAGGGCCTGGGGCATGCTGCCTCAGGGCCTTTGCACATGCTGTGTCCTACCTAGGAAGCTCTTCTCCTTGCTTTCTCACCTATCACTGCTGAGCTGAGATGACCCCTCCTTAGCATCCTCCTCCCTGACCACTGGGGCCAGAGCACTAGCCCCCTAATTACCCCCTCCCCACATTCTAGTGTCATTCCTCTGCTCTAGTTATTCACGACCTTCATCATCATCTGACATGAACTTACTGTCTCCTCAACAACACCATAAGACCTTGAGGGCACGCCCCGTCTATCTTGCTCACGGCTGCGTCTCCAGCACTGAGGCCACTACCTGGCACGGAGCAGATGCTCAATAGATATTTGTGGAACAAATGAAACAACCGTGCAGAGCCTGATGCTGGTGGCCGGGCATCCCCGATGTTAATACAGACAGCAGACCTGGGCTTTCTTTGTTTATTGATCGCCTCCTGATAACTCCAGAGAGGAATCAAGATGGGGGGACCTTCACATCACCCACCCTCTCAGATGGCAAGAGCTTCAGACCATGTGCAGTAAGGCACAGTCATGGTCTCCTGGGAAGGTGTGACCCGTCGCCTGCGAGCCCCGGGGTCCCGGCCTCGTGCAGTCGAGGTAATGAAGCAATAGCTGCTTTCCGGAGCCTGAGTGAGGTAAGCTGCAGCCGCAAAGATTGTGAAACGGGTTCAGGATTTCTCCTTTCATAGCTGAGACCAGGAGTCCGTCCCCTCAGCCTGCTCCCCCAGCGGGTCACGGATCGTCACCACTCTGGTTGCCTGGAAGGGTTTAACCAGAGCGAATCATGCAGTGACGGGGGCTGGAGCAGCCGACTGGGGCCGCCTCCATTTACATTCTGTCTCCTAGAACAGCCCAGGGAGATGGGCGCGAGCTTTGGCGAGGGCCAGAGCCCATCTCAGAATTGGGCCCCACAGGGGTGAGTCCAGACAGAGAAGGTGGGGGCACACAGTCATTCAAAGACGAGCTCAGCCTGAGGCCACCGCTTCAGACTCCAGTTTAAGCAGAAAGCTAAGGTAAGCCCACAGCTGGGCCCTGCAGGCCCGTCCGGCAGCGGGTACAAGCAAACCAGTGTTTTTCCCAAGGAGGATCTGTGCAGGCCAAGGCCTCGGGAGCCTTCCTGATGTTTCAGCCAACCCCCCTTCCCTGTCTGAACGTCTGGAGTCCCAGTTCCACGGTGGGTGGCCAGAGTGTAGCCATAGTGCAGTGTCCCTCCGGGGTGGGTGTGGGCTGCCCGCCTACTGCCCCTGGGAGGCAGAAGTTTCTTTGCCTGAAAGAAAGGAGGGAGAGGAGAGAAAAACACGTCACTGCTAAATTATGCCTCAGACACGGCTCCCTGAGCTGTCCCACTCCTGCTCCAGCCTGCAGGCCAGGGGCCGGGAGGACCCAGACGCCCAGCCTGGGGGAGTCTGGTGCCCTGTTTTGCTCCCCAAGACCTGCAGGAGAACCCCAAGTCTCTCCTTCCTCCACATGGATGGAGGACGAATAGCTACAAAAAGACAAAAGCATTTTCGCACCCTTACCACACACCAGCCCTTCCAGACACTCTTGCCTAACCCCGCGGTGATGGCAGCAAGCAGGTGCTATTAGCAACCCATCTTACAGAGGAGAAAACCGAGATGAGGGCCTGGCCACAGGCCTGCAGGTGGCAAGCAAGGAGCCAGGATCTGAGCTACAAAGCGTGGAGGGTAATGTAGAGGCTGTGTGTGCAGACAGACGTGTGGTGATCGTGAGCCTCTGTGGACAGTAAAGCGAGGAGCCGGAGAGGAGGCTGAGCCCAGATAAAATGCCTACAAATGACAACAGCTCCTCAAACAAATGATCAAAACAAGAATCCGACCCTCAGGAACGCATATTGGAGCCGCCACTATGTGCAGGACCCCAGGTGCACCACATCACGCAGCTGTCCTCAAAGGCCTGCGGAGGAGGCTCTGCGATCGCACCCGCTACATAGGGAGGAGGCCGGCTCAGAGAGACTGAGGAACAAGCCCACAGCCACACAGCCCTGGTCCTCAGCCTCTGCCCAGCCCTGCCTCCCACTCCAGTCACAGGGAAGAGCCAGGCCTCTGGAGAAAACCCTTCACCACATCCACCCAAAGATGCCCCTGTTTGGGGGTAGAGATGAGCAACCAGGCACAAGAGGCAGGCCATCTGCCCCCCTGTCCCTGCCCTCTAGCCGCCTTCTGGAGTGGCCCTGGGCAGGTCCCGGGCAGCGTGCTTTGGTGCCTCCATGTTTTGTCACTGTAAGGGGACAAGAATAGTGTGCCCCCCGCCCCTGGGCCTCTGAAATGTACCAGGGGCCTGTGCCCACTGGTGGAGGCTAGCTCACCTTTGGGGATGAACTTCAGTGAGCTGCTGAATATTCAGAAGCGGGACTGCCCCCGCTTGGGGCCGTCATTCAGGAACTCATGGCCCAGCCCGTTGCCACACCTGCCACAGGACACCTGGGAAGACCACAAAACAGCTGAAGCAATGGCCCCTCCTGCCACCAGCAGATGGTGTCCTCCCCAGGCCCTTTTCCCAAGGTAACTGCTGGTAGAAGAGGCCGACCTCCATCCTGGAGCCCTCAGAGGAAAGCCATCCTGTGTCCCTTGGCCCACCAGGACCCCAGGCTCGCCCAATAGTTTGGGGTGGCAGCTCCCCCAGCTGAGGCCAGAGGCCTGGGACAGACAGACTCTAAGCCCCTGGAGCTGTGGGGGGAGCAGAAGGAAGGACAAGGCGGCCAGCTCTTGTCCCTCCCTGGCCAACACCCCCCTCGCCGCCCCCTGCTGCTGCCACTCACCTTGAAGGCTCCCGGCCGATTGTGCTCTGGACGCTTGGCCACGCTGTCAGCGTGGATGGTCTCGGTGAAGGCCGGCCATGGGGATGAGTGTGCGTACTTTGAGCGGCTGGAGAAGAGCTCGTAACCACACTTGGCGCACACGTAGATGCCTGCGGGCGGAAAGGGAGGCAAAAGCAGATGTCTCTGGGATGAGCTCCCAAATCCTCGGACCCAGGAGAACACAGCACCATCCCCGCTCACAGAGTGGGCTGCACACCCTCCCCACAGCCCCACAAGCCACCCACAGGCCTGGGTATTGGGTCTGTGGGGGAGACACACCACTAAGCTCACATTTAGTGGTTCTAAGCATGTGCCAGAGACCAGGAGAGCCACTTTTCACACTTTTCTCACTGACTCTTTTCAAGAGCCCTGTGTTCAGACCTTTCCACTTTACAGATGAGAAAGCTGAGGCTCGGGGACACAGAACACTCAGCTAGAGGGCGTGCAGCCAGGAAGGAACCCAGGCAGTCTGATGAGGACACAGCACTCCCGCCCCAGCAGGCCCCACATAGTGGGGGCTCTGATATGGCCAGCACCACCACCTAGCCCGCCTCCCTTCCCAAGTGGCCGTCCCAGCATGGGCCTGCTCTCCACCCAGGAAGAGAATGGTCCCAGCGAAAAGGCCTCCAGGCCAGAGAGGGGGCCCAGGAAGACAGAGGGCCAGGGAGGAGAACAGGTTTTAACCTAGCCCCAAAAGATCACTTTAAGGGGGGAAAAAACGGTTGTGGGCCCACCCAGTGGCATAGTAGTTAAGTTCGTGCGCTTGCTTCACTTTGGTGGCCCAGGGTTCGCAGGTTCAGATCCCAGGCACAGACCTACACACTGCTCGTCAAGCCATGCTGTGGCAGGCATCCCACGTATAAAGTAGAGGAAGATGGACACAGATGGTAGCCCAGAGCCAGTCTTCCTCAGCAAAAAGAGGAGGATTGGGAAAGATGTTAGCTCAGGGCTAATCTTCCTCACCAAAAAAAAAAAAAAAGGTTGCAAGACTGACTGGCAGAACAGGAACTGCTTGGGAGTGAGGAAACTCCTCACCTACTGCCCGGCCTGGGGACAGCCTCCCCTGGAGTCTCTGAACTACTCAACCTTTACCAGCAACTGGAGGAGGAAGCAAAAGGGAACCAAGAGCTGCTGTGGGAGTGGAGTTTCGGCGTTGGCAGAGCAGCCTGAGGACAACCCCGGGTCCCACAGCTGGAGGGTCTCAGGGGAGGGCTTTGCCCAGAAAGTCCTATGTCACAGCTAGCACCCATAGATGCCTGGTGTCCCAGCGCAACCCCTTCGAGGGCTGACACCCAACAGATCCCACCCCAGGTGGGTCACTGCCCTCGTCTTGCCTGTGGGCGTGGTTTTACCAAATTAGTCCATACCAGGCAGCACAGCCCAGAAGAGAACTCACCAGGGCCTCTCAAAGCCTGAGGCCAAGGCTGAGAGTTGGCCATGCTCCAAACCACCCCCACGCCCCCCACCCCCGCCCAGGCTGTCTGGTCAAACTTCACTCGCCATTGGTGGCCTGGCGGCACTGCTGGTTACAACCCCAGGGCCATGGGCAGGTGGGGGAGGCACCCAGGCAGGCACATTCGGATGCGAAGGGTCGTTGTGTGCTTGCCGGCGTACCGCGCGGGTCCCGGGAACCGGGAGGAAAGTGGGGAGTGGTAACACCCAGGAGCTGCCCCTGGACAAGACCTTCCTTGCGTCCCTCTGAAGTCCATATCCTGACCCGTCACCACCCCCATGTACCCTGACCCCACAGGTTCCCCCGGGAACGGCCAGGCTCACACTCAAGGCCCGTCCTCCCGAGAACAGCGACCGCGTCTCTCTAATGTCCCCCTCCCCTCAGGTACCCCCTCTCCGGGCCCCCAGACCCCTCGCTCCTTCGTGATCCCCTTTGCCCGTATGCGCTCCTCCCCGCGCGGTCACACTCGCCGCCCTTTCCCGGGGCTGCGGGGTCCATCACCACCCCAGGGCAGCGACGCCCCTCTAATGCGCGCCCCCGCCCCGCTGTCCTCCAGGAGGTCACGGGTCGTACCCGGCTCAAAGTGGTTCTGGAAAACCTCGCCCCCGAAGAAGCTGCAGAACGACATGGCGCCCCCGAGAACGCTGCGCTCCCCACAGCCTACAGACCCGAGGCCACCGACCGCCGATCCCGGGGCCTGCGTCCGCCTCCCCCGAGGACCGATCACTCCCCGGAACAAGGGCTCCGGCTTCCTCCTCCAGGAGGCCCCGCCCCCAATGTGCCCCGCCCCCCGAGGACCCCCCCCGCCCCCACCCCGCGCATCTTCCCAGGACGCCCCGCCCACGGACCGCTCCTTTGCCGCAACCCCGAGGCCCCGCCCCCTGCCGCCCGGCCCCGCCCCTAGCGCCAGGGGGCGCCGCTGAGACGAGCTGGGTTTGGCGTGGCAGCCACGCCGCACCCTCAGAGCCGCGGCCGCTCGGCTTGCCCTGGTGCTAAGTCTGCAGCCACTGGCCGTCGGCCGGCCCTTCCGTGCCCCCAACTCTGAGACACCACGGGAAGAGTTGCCTCCGGCCTTTATTAGGGGGGACAGGCAGGGGTCGCGCCGCTCGTCTTTCGGGCTCCCTCCATCCCAGTGCCGCCTACAAGTCTCCTGAGGTCTCCGGCTTTTCCTTCTCAAGATGCTTCTTCTGGGGACCCTGTGGGGATGGAGGGGACAGGAGGAGCGTTAGTTCCAGGGTTTAGCCCGGAATACTGCCCCTGGCCAGCCGCCTGGGTCACCCAGAGCCAGCTCTGCCGCCCCTCCCACGGCCGGTCCCTCCCTTCCCCTCTTTTCCAGCAAGAATCAGTGCCCAGGGCTGGACTCCTAAAAGCCCCCTCCTGTGGAAAAGTGCAGGGGGCGTCCCTGCTGCCCCCATCTGCCCCAGCTTCCTCATTCCAGCAGGTGGGATGTGGGGTCAGAGCGCCAGAGAACAAGGGGAGTGGGCTCACCATGAAGACCCTCTTTTCTTGGGCTGTCTGGAAGCGGCCATGGCCGAACTTGGAGGTGGTGTCGATGAACTTGAGTTCGATATTCTCCAGGGCCCGGCGGCTGTGGTGCACCAGGAGGGACTGGGAATCCGTGGAAGAAGAGATCTTCAAGACAGGAGGTCCCCATCCACCCCCTCCCGTGACCCCAGCCCACACCCAGAAGGTCTCACTCACTCACCTCCTGCCAGAACTCCTCCCTTTTTGCTCTTCCCAACCCCACCCCTCCCAGGACAGGGCAGGCCGTCCCCCTGACCCTCTCACAGCCCACGGGGCTCCTGCTCCCCGGCCCACCACCATGCTGACCTTCCTCAGTGTGATGACACGCTTCTTGGTGCCCGCGATGCAACCCTTCAGCATGACGAAGTCGTTGTTGACTTCCCCGTAGTGGGGAAAGCCGCCCTGCAGGGAGGTGGGTCAGGATCCAGGCCAGGAAAAGGGGCGGCCGAGTTAGGGGGCAGCTGGGATCCCCAGGAGAACCCCCCACATGCTGTGATTGGAAGGAGCCAGTGCCGGCCCTGTGGCCTGGGGTGACACCCTCGATCACCTGATCGAGGGCAGCATCGTACAGAGGGAGAAACTGAGGCACAGAGCAGCATCTGAGCCACAACCTAAGTCCTGTCCGTCATTATCTCATTTAACAATCTGCATCGTACAGAGGGAGAAACTGAGGCACAGAGGGGGAAGTCATTTGCTCCAGGCCCCATGGCTGCTGCATACTGCAGCTGGGGTTTGAGCCCACGCGGCCTGACTCCAAGGCCACAGTCGGAGCTGCTGCACCCTACACCCTGTGACAGCAGCTGGAGTGTAAGCCATCTGCAGAGGTGCTCAGAGGATGTGGGAACAGCAGGGCTTTGTTCCACCCAGGCGGCTGCTCGCTGGTGCCTGAGCTCTGGGGGCAGGGCAGCACCCCACACGCCTGCGCCACACCTGCGCGCCGGGCCCCCTCCACCAAACTGGCCGCCCACCCTCACCAGCGGTGTGATGGACTTGTCGGTCACGTCATAGCTGGTGGATGCACTGCTCTTGACCACCTTCCCGTCCTCCATGTGCAGCCCCCGGCCGATGCGGTAGATCTGCCGGGAGAACAGGGCACGTTGGGGGCAGCAGGCGGCCTCTGGGGCCAGTGGCGTGTCCACACCCATCAGCGCGTGTGCTCAGACCCAGGCGCTGGCGGGGGCACTTCAGAGCCTCCAGGGGAGAGGCAGTGTCTGGGTCATGCACCCCCACCCCCTGGGCTCGGGTCAGGGCATCTCCCCACCACGAGGACCGCGGCCGCACCTTCTTGTTGAGCTCCGTGCGGTGGTGGTAGCCCTTCTGCCCAGCCCGGGCGATGGAGCAGCCCACGCGGGCTGGGTGCCAAGCACCAATGCAGGCCACCTTGCGCAGCCCCTTGTGGGTCTTCCGAGGCAGCTTCTTGGTATGCCAGCGACTCGTGACCCCTGCAGGGGGGGAGGGGCTGGTGGCTGAGAGGCCAGTCTGGCCCCCACCCCCTCCAGGCAGCCTTCCCAGAGCTGCCATCCCCACCTGGCCCTACCTTTGACACCCCGGCCCTTGGTGACAGCAATGACATCAATGACCTCATTCTGGCTGAAAACGCTGTGCACCGGCACCTGCTTCTCCAGCTGGGTCTGGGCCCAGGCCACCTTCTCAGCCACCGTGCCGCCGTTCAGCTGGATCTCCATGATGTGGGCCTTCTTCTGCCGGAAGGGCAGCAGCTTCATCTGCAGGCATGGCACGGCCAGTCGGTTCCCAGAGGGTCACACCCCCATGTGCACACATGGCATGACCGGCTGGTGACCTGTGGCAGGCTTTCACAAATGCATTCATTCAGCAGATGTTCCCATGCTCTGGTCTGGCTATGTGCCATGTTCTGTGCTAGGCACTGGGGATACAGCATGGAATGAGGCAGACAGGGTCCTGGCCCTCATGGAGCCACCATCTAGTTGGGGGACAAAAGGCGAGTAAACTCTTGGAGAGGGCGGAGTGTTCTGACGGAATATTGGAGGGGTGGAAGGGACTCTTATTGCACCTAGGGTGGTCACAGAAGGCCTCTCTGAGGAGGTGACACCAATAACAAGACAGAGCCACTAGGTGAAGATCTGAGAGCACACTTGGGGCAGAAGGACTCGCATGTGCAAAGGCCCTGTGGCAGGGAAGATCTGGGGAACTGGTGGGACAGAAAGGAGACCAGTGTGTCTAGACCATGTTGAGCAGGATGGAGTCAGAGGTGAGCCGGGGCCTAGCCAGGCATGTCTTGCCAGGAGGAGCTCAGGTTTTATTCCAAGTGCGGGGCGTGACATGATCTGATTCATATTTTTAAACATCTCTGCTGCTGCATGTGAGGCACAGGCTGTGGGGATGCACAGGGGGAAGCAGGGACACAGGTCACAGCATAGTGCTCAGCCACAAGTCCTTATGGAGTACCTGCTGCATACAAGGCTCTGGTGGGCACTGGGGCACAGCACTGGACAGGCAGCCGTGGCCCCTGCCCCCGCAGAGCTCAAGTCTCTTGAGGGAGATGGACGTTAACCAGTGACACACATCACCAGGAACTGCAATGTGAGAGTAACTGAGGGGAGGGGCAGGGTGGCTGCTCCAGGCCTAGGGAAAGCTTCCCTGAGGACAAGACGCCAAGGAATGCTCCAGAGTAAGCCAGAGGGTGTGGGTAATCTGTCAGCCCACATCAAGCCAGACCCCACGGAAGAATGCTGACTCACACACACTGGGCCAGAACCCGAAGGAGGTGGCCGGCCTTCCACACGGACATCTGGCAGGAGAGCCAGGCCCTTCGGGACATTTCGGGACCTTGGTTGACCACTGGGCGTGGCTGATGCCCCACGGCCCTCAGAGCACACTGACGCCCAGCGTCCCACCGCCGGGGCTGCGGGCGGCTGTGTGGCGGTCAGCAACACTTTGGGGCTGTGCCTGGAGCTCTGGTATTTTTAGGCTGACACTTGCCGGGCCTCCTGAAAGCTGGGGGGCGGGGGCCAGGGGGCAGGCTGGCTAACCGGGTGTGGACAGGGGGCAGGGGCTGACCTGGGTGTGGACAATGACCCGGATGACCTTGCAGTGCTTCTTCATGGCGGCGAAGTCTTCCTGGAGCTGCTTCTTGCCGCCACTGCCGTGCCACCGCTTGCAGGCCTTGGTGAAGGCCTTCTTCTTGCTCTTGTGCCTGAGCCGCGCAGAGCGGGCCCTCAGAGGGGCCAGCAGGGCCGCTCCCCGGGCCGGCCCTGCCCCCGCCCGCCGCGGGCCCCCAGGCAGGGGTCTTAGAACAGTAGATGTCCCCCTCCTCCCTCCTGCCTTCCTGGGGGAGGCCACCGCTGGTGTCCCTGGGCTGGTTCCAGTCGCCATCTTTAAGCACAGACTGTCCCTCCCTCTCTAGGCCTCAGTTTCCTCCTCTGTAAAGTGGGCGCTCTCCCTGCCTCCCAGAGCTTGAGAGTGAGTGGCGGTTGTGCAGGACCTCAGGGAAGGTGCGTGCCAACTGGCCCCATGGCCACCTGCCCCCGTGGCCACCTGCCCCCGTTGCTATGGCTGCTGATCCCACTTCTAAAGCCAACAGCTGGCACTGGCCAGAACTCTGAAAGATGGACATTATTATCCCCATTTTACGGATGAAGAAAGCAGGGTTCACAGAGCTCAGAGCCTCTGGGTGAGGGGCAAATTGATAACAACAGAAACAGCGAGAACAGGGCCAGCCGGCATTTGCCGAGCACTTTCTCTGTGCTGAGCACTTGACATGCTGCACATCTAATCCCACAGCAGCCCCGTGATGCAGGGACCACTCCCATCTCCATTTGATGGTGTCCGAGGTATGTGTAGGGGGTGATACGAGGCTCTAAGAGGTCAGCTGTTGGCCTGGGTCATACATCCTGCTCTGACTCTGGGGCCCCAGCTCGTCACTTCCCAGAGAGGGCCAGGGCTGGGCTATGCCTCTGCCTCTGTAAGGAGCGGGGTATCTGTGAGGTTCCTCAGGCAGGTGGGCCTTCCCTTTCAGGACTTAGTGCCAGGGAAGATATGAGGCCTGAGAATGTCTTTCGTTCTGATGAGAAGAGCTCGTCAGTTAGCTGTTTCCCTTTTATTTATTTATTTATTTTTTTCCCCCAAAGCCCCAGCAGATAGTTGTATGTCATAGCTGCCCATCCTTCTAGTTGCTGTATGTGGGACGCGGCCTCAGCATGGCCGGAGAAGCGGCGCGTCAGTGTGCGCCCGGGATCCGAACCCGGGCCGCCAGCAGCAGAGTGCGTGCACTTAACCACTAAGCCACAGGGCCCGCCCTAGCTGTTTCCCTTTTCACCCTGGCTGCTAGGAAGCTCGGAGCCAACTCTGACATTCCATTAGATTAGTACCCTAATTAACCCTGAAGATTAGAACATTTGCTTCTTCTTTCTCCCTGTCCCAATTTCCTCTCCAGCTCTCTAGTACTCATCTTTTATTGAAGTGATGGTACTCCTCCACACACACACACACTTTCCTGCCTTCCACACACTGTTGACACTTCTCCTGCGTACCCCATCCGTCATCATTCCATCTTTCCAGCACAGGACTGGGGAGTGAAGGGCCCGCCCAGCCCCTGTGGTCCCACCAGCCCACGTTCGGTCCACCTGAGGCAGCCCTCACCAGTCCTTGTAGAAGCGGCGTCGGCACTCGTCGCTGAGGTGTTCTGCAAAGATGGTCTTGAAGCTCCGCAGGCCTCGAGGGGTAGCCACATAGCCCACGATGCCCACCACCACCAGAGGCGGCGTCTCCACAATCGTCACTGCCTCCACCTCCTCCCGCTTGGAAATTTCTGGATGAGACCCAGAGACAGGGGCATGGAGAGGGGCCTCTGGGGCCCATGGGGAAGGAGGATGGAGTGGAAGACCCAACTACAGCCCTTTCTGCCCGAGGGAAGATGGAGCACCACAGCCCCAGGGCTGCTGGGGACAGAGGCCCTGGTGAGTTGGGCCCACACTTACCCCCAGCCCTCAGCTGGCCTGCTCCCTGCCTCTTCTCTCCCTGCTCTGCCCTTGGCAGGGAGCAGCTGCTGCTCAGGGCTCATGGGTGGTCCCTGCTCGCTCTGACTCAGATCTCAGGCCAGGCCCTACCTGCTGCTTGCCTCAGTTTCCCCACCAGATCATCCAGGAATGGGCTGGGAGAACAAGAGCTAGGGAAGTGTACCCCAAAGAGTAGGGTTGAGCCTCCTTGAGTGGAGCACAAACGAGCATTTTTTATTTTAATAGTTACGAATGTATGCCAATGAATTCTAGGAAAAAACCCTATAACTTGTACAAAACCCATGATTTTATAGCTGTTATTACTGAGGCTGATACAAACTAAAAGAAGTATGTTTAAAAAATATATTAGGAAAGGGGGCCAGCCTGGTGGTGTAGTGGTTAAGTTCGTGTGCTCTGCTTCAGCAGCCTGGGATTTGCAGGTTCGGATCCCAGGCACAGACATACACGCTGCTCATCAAGCCATGCTGTGGCGGCGTCCCACATACAAAATAGAGGAAGATGGGCACAGATGTTAGCTAAAGGCCAGTCTTCCTCACCAAAAATAAATAAATAAATAAATATTAGGAGAGATGAAGAACAGATGAGTGGTTCCCAGAAGGTTGGGTGGCTGTGGCTAAAAAGGGCAGCAGGAGGGAGCTGTGTGGGGATGGGATGTTCTGAGGCAGTGGGTACACATATTTATATGCGACAGAACTGCTCAGAACTAAATACACACACAACTGGAGAAATCGGAATAAGGTGGTGGGTTGTATCCACATCAGTATCCAGTTATGACACGTTACTGTGTTTACAAGAAATTCCATCGAGGGAGACTGGGTGAAGGGTACATGGGGTCTCTCTGTATTATTTTCTACAACCACGTGTGAATCTACAATGATCTCAAGATGAAAAGCATATCGGGCACCGGCCTTTGAATCCTAGCTCCTCGGCCTACTAACTGGGCGGCTGGCAAGCTTCAGAACTGCTCCACTGTCTCATCTGTAACGTGGGGGCAATGACAGAATCCACCTCGAGGGTGGCCAGTGGTCAGCGCTTGATGACAGTCAGCACCCTGACCACAGTTCCCAGGGGCAGGGCCTCACCCTTGCCAGGGCTGCGGCCCCTCCCAGAGCCCAGTCTGGCTCCCAGCATCTGGAAGTTTCTCCAGGTTTCTGGCGCTCAGGGATGCTCCCCCCGCCCCCCCTGCCCCCCATGTCCCCTGCAGCCACTCACTGAGCCCTGGCCGGTGCACTTCCCGCAGAGTGTGTGTCATGCCGGCCTTGTAGCCCAGGAAAGCCGTGAGGTGCACGGGCTGGCTGGGGTCATCCCGCGGCCACGTCTTCACTTTGCCCCGGTGCCGGCGGCTCCTCTTGTGGGGCAGGAAGCCCAGGTGTCCATGCCGAGGGGCGGAGAACTTCCGGTGGGACTGGGGGCAGGAGGGAAGGGAGGTCAGAGCTGGGGTCTCCGTGGTGGGGACGGATGGTCCCAGAGCCCAGCTCCAGAGAAGTGAGCTAGACACCCAGACTGAGACCTGGTGGTCTTCAGTGCCTCCCCCATCTGTCTACAGGAAAGGAGGGGAACGTTCACCCAGGGGCAGTGTCTTAGGGAAGGAGCCAGCACCAAGCCCTCTTCACCCACAGGCCTCCTGCCTCAGTGGGCTCAGCTGGGTCAGGCCCAGGAGAGGCAGGCCACACTGTGGCCAAGGGCTACAGGGGCAGGAGGCCACTGCCATCTGTCCATCTCCTTGCCCATTCTAGGTCTGGCAGCCCGAGCTCTGGCCGCCTCCTGTCCCCTGCAGTCACCTACTCCCTCACAGGCCCAAGGACTGACCCTGCTGGGAAAGACTCCAGAAGCCCACCTGCCCCTCCCCAGGAAGCCAGCTTGCTCCTGCTCCAGCCCCCACAGCCCACTGACCATGGCAGCCGCTCCCTGGAGGTCAGGAAGGGAAGAGGCCTCCCTACCAGGCGCTGGAGGTCGAGTGGCAGGGCCAGGACACACGGCAGCCAGATGCCAGATTTAGCCCCTGGCAGGGGAGCTTGGTCATCTCCCGAGGCAGGCATGGGCTCTGGTGCCAGGAGCAGGCCTGGCCTGGGGCCGGGCAAAGTGGGGGCATCAGACAGGCAGCCTGTGGTGGGGACACCTGGAGCCAGGGCTGGCACTCCTTTCCTCAGGGACTGGGTCCCACTCACTTTGTTTTCTGCCTCATGTGACCCTCCCAGGACAGGAACAACTTGGCATGGTGGGGAGTGGAGAAACCCCCGCGGGGGGGCTTCTCTCGGGCAGCTGCCATGAGGAGGGTCTGAGTCCGGTTTGCTGGCCTTGAGGCAGAGGGGATTCCTGTCCTGTCCTGAGAGCTGTGAGCTGGGGCTGGACAACAGCGGGGCTGGGGCATCATGGGGGGGGGGGATGGGGAGGTTGACTCTGCCCGGAGGATCCAGGGCCGGGATTCAGTGTCAAGATCCCTTTTGTGTGTGTGTGTGTGTGTATGAGGAAGATCAGCCCTGAGCTAACATCCATGCTAATCCTCTCTTTTTGCTGGGGAAGACCGGCTCTGAGCTAACATCTATTGCCAATCCTCCTCCTTTTTTTTTTTTTTTTTCCTTTTTCTCCCCAAAGCCCCAGTAGATAGTCATATGTCATAGTTGCACATCCTTCTAGTTGCTGTATGTGGGACACGGCCTCAGCATGGCCGGAGAAGCAGTGCATCGGTGTGCGCCCGGGATCCGAACCCGGGCCGCCAGCAGCGGAGCGCGTGCACTTAACCACTAAGCCACGGGGCCGGCCCCTCAAGATCCTTGACTAACAGCTGTGAGCCAAGGACATTTAGATACTTTTATGAACTTAAGTTTTGAATGACAAGAGTATTGAAATCTCTTATTTTTTGATTCAAAGATGCTATGATTATGAAGTTCTGTAGCTGTAGCATCAGTTTCATAGGCCTAAGATGTCTCTGAGGGTCTATGGATTTTGCACTGCTCCATGTTAAGATGCTATGCTACTAAAATGTTACAGTTGTTTTTGTTGTTTTTGAGTAACAAAGCTGCTTCAATACTTTAGAGTAAGCCCCCCAGGAATAAAATCCCAGGGAAGGGGTAACCCCCTCAAGTGTCCAGAGTGGCCCAGGAGGCGAGAGGCCACCTGAGGGAAGGAAGCGCAGAGGGACCCGGCAGACTCAGGGCAAAGGGACTGCCATCGGCGTTAGGACCTGAAGTGCTATAGGACACAGGGCGTGGAGGGACTGGCTCTAGGCACACAGGCCAGGGCCAGAGGGTTGGGCACGAAGCCACAAAGCTGCCTGGGTTCCTCCATCTCGTTTGCCTTTCTCTGCTTCTGCCATGTGATCTGCGAGCCCCTCTGTTGCCAGGCGCAGCAAAGAGCCGTCATCTGGCGCTTTCCCTTATCTGAGTCCTCTGCTTTCTCACACTCTTCTGGTGGGCAAGCTCGCGCTGGTTACCGAAGGTCATGGCGACGGTGGCGGCTCCGGCCTGCCTCCGTTGGGTCCCCTTGTTCAGTCTGACGTTGCAGGCCAGTGTTACAATTCTTTGGGTCTGACAGTGTGTGTTTCTGAGTTCATGATTTGGAGATTTGACATTTCTGTGAGTCCAGATTCTGTGCGTCCTTAGAGTTGGCTCTGTGTCTCTGGCCCCAGCCTCTGGGCAAGAAGTGACCAGTACCCTCCCTGGTGCCCACCAGGGGCCGTGCCAGGTATGGAGATCACAGAAGGTGGCCAGAAGGGCCCTGGTCAGTGGAGCTGCTTTGGGGGCACGACAGTGCTCAAGGCCAGGGTGGAACCATCAGAACCAGAGCAGAGCGCCCTGCGCCCAGGGTAGGAGCCACCTCTCCCTGTGGGTGGGAGTCCCGAAGGCAAGCCCTACCTTCCGCTCTGGCCTAGGCAGGCCCGGCAAGCTCACCGGCATCAGCCAGTCCATGAGAGGCCCTGACAGACACAGTGGAGCCCAGAGAGGGCTGAGGGGAATGGGCAATCCAAGAAGGCTTCCTGGAAGAGTAGGGCGTTTGATAGTTTGTGCTATTTGTTGACTTAGTTGTGTTACTGGTTTACTCTACCGGCCTGAGTTCTCCAGAGGAGCCGAGCCGTGTTCATATACTCCCTGCTGCACTCGGCACGTGCCTGCACGCCGTCAGAACTGAATGAACTTATTCCCGTGTGTGCCTCCTCTTAGAACGTAAGCAGGGATGCCTGTTTCCTTCACCGCTGTCTCCCAAGCGCCGAGGCCGGCACCCAGCACGTGGTAGGCGCTCCACAGAGTTCGAGGAAGGAGGCTGCGTATACAATGGCGCCACGGTCCCAGCTGACGGCGCCCGCCCTGCGAGCGTTTCCCCAGCCCACACGTGGGTGGGCCGGACGAACTGCAAGTCCCATGGTGCCGCGCGGGCGCCGCCGGCCCTGCGCAGGCGCGGCCTCCTTCGGTCGTCCTCTGCTGCGGGCGAACTAGGCCGCGGGACAGAGGCGGAGGCCGGGGCTGCGCGTCAGGGAGCGGACCCCGCTGCGCGCCGCCGCCATGCCGGACAGCTGGGACAAGGACGTGTACCCCGAGCCCCCACGCCGTACACCGGCGCCCTCGCCGCAGACCTCGCTGCCCAACCCCATCACCTACTTGACCAAGGCCTTCGACCTCCTCGTGGACCGTCCCGTGACCCTCGTGAGAGGTACCGGCCCCGCCGCTCCCCGGGCCGCCCCCCCCCGCCGCCCCTCGGAGTCCCCCGCCCCCCGGGCCCCGTCGTCCAGCCTGGAAACCCCGCCGCACCACGGGCTTCTCCCCCGTGGCCACCCGCCGCCGCACCCCGGGGCCCCCACCCGGAGACCTGCGGGCCCCGTCGCCTCCTTGGATCCCCCGATGCACGCCAGGCCTCGCCTCCTGGGACGCCCCCCTCCTACCTCAGGACCCCTCACTGCTCTTCGGCCCCTGCAGCTTGGGGAGCCTTCCACGCACCCCTGGTTTCCGGCCTCGCCCAAATATTAGGTGTTTTTGCGCATCGCAAGCATCTGTGTCCTGAGGCTGTTAGACCCCGGTCTCCCTGCACGCTTTGCATCCTGCGGTGTGCACAGTAGGTGGTCATCAAACGGGTGTTGAAATGAGGGGGTTCTCTCCAAACTCTCTGCACGCCTGCAAAATGACTGGGATGGTCAGGTGATGGCAAGGTCCCCTGAAGCTCGATGTGCTGTGACTTGTCCTCTGTGTGTGCCCGCGCTTGAGAGCTGCCCAAGTTCCCCCATCTCTTGTCCGAACGAGGCGAATGTTTAAAATGGTTCTTTGTTGCCCAGTCTGTGGTTCAGCCAGCTCCATGGGGCAGCAGCAGGAGACGCTCTGCCCTCAGTCACTAGTTCCAGGTGATTTGTACATGCATTTAATTAATCAGATCATTTGTTCAACAACAAAACATTTGGGGTGCATGGCATGCTCTGGTGGCCCTTTTGTTAGGGAGGATAAAGTTAGCAAACCAGACCCCCAAGGTCTGGAAAAGGCATAGCAGTGGACCCGCTCTCGTTTGTAGCAGTTTCTTAAAAAGCGTCTTATATATCTGGATGGGTGAGATCTCACCAGGTTCAACTTGTTAATTTACCAATGGGGAAGTTGAGGCCGGAAGGTCAGCAGTGGCAGAACTGGGACTAGAATCTCTGCTGGCGCCTCCCTCTTGGGCCTCTTAGCTACACAGTGGAGTCCCGGTGCTTGTGGGCGATTGAGTTGGACCTGTAGCAGTGAGTGGGTCGTCCGGCCGTCTCTCTGGGCCTCAGCCCCATCTGTAAGGACCTGCACCACAGGGTTGTTGTGGGGACAAAGAGAGATAATGCACACAGGATGGTGCCTGGCTCCCAGGAAGCTCTGCATAAATGGTAGACATCACCCTTCATAGCCCATCATTCCCAGGACTGTCTGTGCCAGCCCACAGCCCTTTGAGAGTTCAACTGCCAGTCTGTAAAAGCTGAGAACATTTGGGAAGTCTGCTCCTTCCACAGCTTACGAGAAATAAAACTAAGAACCCATCCCAACTATGGCCTGTCCAAACCAAGGGGGCCTTTGAGTCTGGGGTTTTCTCTTTGCAGAGTTTATAGAGCAGCAACATGCAAAGAACCGGTACTACTACTACCACCGGCAGTTCCGCCGCGTGCCAGATATCACTGAGTGCAAGGAAAAGGACATCTTGTGCATGTTTGAAGCAGAAATGCAATGGAGAAGAGACTAGTACGTCCTGCCCTTGGGCTCTCGTTCTGAGTGGGGTAATACAGAGCCCTGCACAGCGAGCACACCCTGTTGGGCCATCGTTCCCTGGGGGTACCATGGGATGGTGGTCAGCCAGCAAGAATGCCTCCTGGGCCAGATCTTAGGGGTGGAGGGGCCTGACTACAGGGCTCCAAGGTCCTGCTTTCATTCTCTTCTCCCTGGGTACAGGGAAAGGATTCCTTGTAGGCCACCTTTCTTGTTCCTTTTTTTTTCAGCAAAGTTGATCAAGAAATCGTGAACATTATCCAGGAGAGACTCAAGGCCTGTCAGCAGAGGGAAGGTGAGAGCTACAGGCAGAACTGTGCCAAGGAGCTGGAGCAGTTCACCCAGGTGGCCAAGGCCTACCAGGACCGCTGTGAGTGAGCCCCTACCTGGCCTGATCCCTGCTTCTGCCCACCCAACTCCCCAACCCTCTATCCAGTCTCCACAGCTGTGAGCTAAAAGTTCTGCTAAAACAGTCTGTTCTCACATTAAGAATCACTGTGCCTTGGGGTCCCCTTTCTGCTCAATACCTGTCAGAAAAGACCTATCCCCATGACAACCCTCCCCCAATCTCTTTCTCAGATCATGACCTGGGGGCCCATTATTCTGCCAGGAAGTGCCTGGCAAAACAGAAGCAGAGGATGCTGGCAGAGAGAAAAGCTGCTAAAGAGGCTGCTGCTGCCTGAGGCAGCCTCCCCTCACATGACTGTGGCTCTTACTAAAATAAAGGGTAATGAAACCTGTCTGTGATTCTGGTATCACTTTCAGCCCCTGACCTTAACACACTGAGAAGCCTTATTTTGATTCCTCATTGGTCCCAGCTACCACTAAAGAAAAGACAACTATTTGAACGGGCTTAATTCACTTTTTATTTTTCTTGTATAAAACTATGTGGTAGCCACAGCTGGAGCCTGGGTCCTCTGTACGGAGACTCTAGTGTGGTTCTTGACAAGATGGTCAGTGAATTCCTGGAAATAGAAACACAAAGCTTTAGTTGTAACCAGACATGCTGCCCGCCTCTGCACTTGCCTAGGCTGACAAGGGAATTGGGCAGGCAGTATACCTGATAAGGAGACTTGGTGAACACGGTCTCTTTCCAGAGGTCAGGGGTGAGATAGCTGTAGGTCTTAGAGATGGCATCAAAGGTGGCCTTGGCTGGAAAAAGATCAGAAAATTGATGGATTCATCTGAGACAGACCCCAGATGAAAGAAGCTGTCGCACTCCTAGGAACAGACAGGCCACTGTGGGCCGGTCTGTCGTGCATTAGGAGGGCCTTCCTCTCTCTCTCTGAAAATACACCAACCACACACACAGTGTGATTAAGTGGAGCTGAGAGAGGCCACAGCCCATGTGTGAGCTACTTACCGAAGTTGCCCAGGGTGGCAGTGCAGCCCCTGGCAGAGGTGTAGCAGTCATCAATACCAGCCATCATCAGCAGCTTCTTGGGCACAGGGGCTGAGACGATGCCAGTGCCCCTGGGAGCAGGGATGAGACGCACGAGCACAGAGCCACAGCGACCCGTCACCTAGGGAGAGAGGAATCAGGAGACTAGGGCTAGAGTCTGCACCACTACTGCAGGCCCCATCAATCACCACCACCCAGCCTACCTTGCAAGGGACAGTGTGGGGCTTGCCGATCTTATTCCCCCAGTACCCTCGCCGCACGGGGACGATGGAGAGCTTGGCAAGGATGATGGCCCCACGGATGGCAGTGGCTACCTCCTTGGAGCACTTAACACCCAGACCGACATGTCCATTGTAATCCCCGATGGCAACAAAAGCCTGTGAAAAAACTTTGAGGTGGCTGGTGGTCCACTGCCCTGCACAGCATCAGTAACCACTCCCCAGGGCCTGTTGCGCCCCTCAAGGAAAGATAAGCCACCATGAGGCCAATCTGAGGTCCCGAGGAGATCCTTGCTCTCTCTCCCGATTACGAAAGTCACACGTGTGAAAACAAGTGTAACCATGCAGAGCTGAGAGAGTCTCACAAAACCCCTTGGCAGAAACAGCCCAGGAAGACACACAATGGCTACAATACCTTGAACCTGGTCCGCTGGCCAGCACGGGTCTGCTTTTGCACCGGCATAATCTTCAAAACCTCGTCCTTGAGGGATGCTCCCAAGAAGAAGTCAATTATCTCAGACTCCTGAAAGAAAAAAGATTTGTGACAAAAACATTCAATTGTAAGTTTAAAGCAAACACTGTCTCAAAATGTTCCTCACTGGGAGTCTTCACTCTGCTTCCTAGAAGAAAAAGTGATCTTCCGATTGCCCGGCCTTTTCTCTCCAGCTTGAATCTCCGCTGTCAGACGGGACACCGTCACACTCACGCGACCTCTCAAACGTGGAACCTGGGGCCCCCTCAATGGCAGACCTCGCCCCTCGACCCCAGGCCAGATGAAACTGCCCGAGACCGCACCCGCCCAACGCCCCGCCCAAAGAAAAAAGACCACGCGTTACCTTGATGGGCAAAGAGAACAAATAGATTTCCTCTAAGGACTTGATCTTCATGTCCTTGACCAAACGACCCAGCTTGGTGACGGGGATCCACTGGAGGAGGGAAAAGGCGCCGGTCACCAGGACCGCCTGCCCGGCGCCGCCCACGGGCCCGTCCCACGAACGCAGCCCAGACCTACCTCCTTGTCCTCGGCCTTGCCTCCGCGAGCTCCGCGGCCTCGGCCACGACCGCGACCACGGCCACGACCCCGGCCCCGGACGCCGCTGCCGAAGCCTCCGCGGAAGCCTCCGCGGCCTCCCATTCCAGGGCCCCCGGGGCCTCCAGGCCCTCCCGCAGCACCGGCGTCATCCGCCATTTGCTGAAGAGAGCGACAAGAACCAGCCAGTTACTGAGGCCCTGGCATTCGCCGCAGCCCGGGGCACCCAGATCGGGGCTTCCCCCCGAGTGTGCGTACGGGCCAAACCTGGGCCCCGCCCGATGCCAGCGGTTTCCCGCCGCCCAAGCTTACACACCGCTATCATTAAGTCTACCACTCACGTGTTTTTCCGCAGAAGAAGAGCGAGGGCACCAGGGAGGCAGCTTTTATATCACACTAAATGCCGCGAGATCTCGGCCTCCCCCAACTACGAGTACGTAAGAGCCTATAAGGAAGCCTGTGATTGGCTCCTCGGGGCCCCGCCCCCGCCGTGCTCTACGCGCGCCTGCCTGTCTGCGGGTCTGCGGCCCCGGAATCGGCGTGACGTGTGAGCTGCTATAAATGCCCGCGCCGCCGAAGACTTGTCTCTCGGGCTGCAGGTGTGTCTGTTTTTCTTGGTCTTTGTCCGTTGCGTCGCTGGGTAGTGGTCGGGAGATCGGCGTTGGTTGAAAATCACCTGCGGCTTGCCCGTGGCCGTGGGTGAGATTCGGCGCCCAGAGCCACCGGAGGCCTCAGCTCGCCGCCCACTTCTCGGTGTGGGGAGGTGAAACCCAGGTCCCGACACGCACCGCCACTCCAGGCCCCGGTGCGGCCGCTCGCGTGCTCTGGGTTCTGACACCTGACCCTGTCTTCTGCCCGCAGGACGCCCGGATGCCGAGCCTGAGGCCGACGCCGCCAGGACTGCGGGGGGCGGGCCGGGGTCTCTGCTCTTCTTCTCTTCCAATAAAAGTGTTGGTCTGACTCATTTGTGTGTGGGTGTTCTTGTCCGCCCTCCTGTCAGCCTGGAAAATGCATCTGTTGACGCTGTGGAGGGGAGACCCTAGCAGGACACCTCTTCCGGCCAGCCCAACTCGGCTGTGGATGCCACACCAGGGGAGAACTGGGGTCTTGGGGGTTGTCAGGTGACTCCTGAGGTCCCACACTCCATAAGTGGCGGAGCCCGGTTTGAAACTGATGTGTCTATCAACACCCCATACCTTCCACATCACATAAAGTACCTTGAACTTGAGCTGGTTGGGCTGGGCCTGCAAACCACGAGCAACGATGGGAGTGTAAGATGCACAGCTCAAAGGCTTGCAGTGGCTCCCTATTGCTCTCAGGACAGGATTAGGGTCTTGGATTTGAGGAGCTCAACGCTCAGGAGTACTGCACCTGCAGTTTTCTGATCTGCGAACATGCTGGTTTCCCAGGTTGTAATTCATTTCCTCATGCCTTCTCTCAGGCCTGCCCAGATGGGTGGAGACTGCCTGCTCTGGGAGGCCTTCCCGCAGGCTAGGCCCCCCTGCTGTGGTACTGCAGGTTGCATGAGAATCTTGTCCTCAGTTCCCTGGTCTGTATCATGAAGCTAGCACCACAGGTCTTCCATCCTACGATACCTGATGATGGGTCAGTGTATGAAGCTCTTGGAGATCTGGCCACCTGGGCAGCACTATCTGAGGAAGGAGAGGGAAACAATACCTGCATTCCTGCTGAAGCTTCAGCCTTGGGGAAGCAGCACCCAGAAGCTTGGTTCCTGGCCTAGCACTGCTTAGGGATCACTTGTTAGCCACCCCCAACGCAGGGGCTCCAGGGACCTGTCCCAGATCTGGGCTACCCTACCCCTCCTCTGTGACCCTTTAGAGAGGGGAGCAAAGGCCAGGTGGTGTAGGGTCCCAGTGGGCCCTGGACCAGGGCTGTGATTGGCCTGAGCTAGACAATACCACTGTGAGGTCGGCCCACTCCTGCTGTGAAATGGAGGCTCCTGAGCCCCTGGGGGTCAGTGGAGCAGCCGTCCAGACAGACACAGATCATGGTGAGCCCGGGACCTTCTTACCTCTGGCCCTTAGATTTGTGCCTAACTCCAGAGACCTGCCCAGAGCCGGACCCCATCCCTCACTCTGAGAAAGGGTGGACAGTGGGTTTCAGGCTCCCACATGGGACAAGGTAACCTAGAGGGCTCTGGGCAGGTCTAACTTCAGGCCCAGGCCAGCTTCCCCAGCTAGGGATTGGTAGATGTGGGGGTCTTAACCCTCACAGCTGCCCCTCCAAAGTGAGTGCTGACCCAACCCTCTACTTGGGGCTCTCATGTGGCCCACTTCACTACCCAAAGCTTCCTGGGGTCTCCCTCTGAGTGTGTGGAGTGGGGGGCCGGATCCTGGTCCCAGCCAGGTCCTGATGTTGGCCTGGCCTTTGCAGAGTGGCGGCTATGATCTCAACCTCTTCGCCAGCCCTCCCGACTGCAACTTCCTGTGCTCCATCTGCCACGGGGTTCTCAAGAGGCCAGTGAGGTTGCCATGCAGCCACGTCTTCTGCAAGAAGTGCATCTTCCAGTGGCTAGCCAGGTATCACTGGACACCTGAGAGGCTGGGAGGGCAGGGGCAGGGCTGGGGCCATTCCAGTGGCCCAAAACAGAGAGGAAGGTCTGCAAGGCACTGGGTCATGATGGCCGTAAGATTCAGCTGCCAAATCTCCTGGGACATTAAAATATGTGGGTCCCCTCACCCTGTGGTATCTGCAGCCCCTGGCCCCAGCCTCAAAGCCAAGAGCTCCCTATCAAGCCCTCTCATGCCTCTTCCAGCTAGAGAAAAGGGACCACCAGGGGAGGCATGTTGCTGCCACTTGCTCCCTTCCCAGTCCCAACTTCACCCCAACTCATGCCTCCTTCTAGACAAAAAACCTGTCCATGCTGCAGGAAAGAGGTGAAATGGAGAAAGATGGTCCATGTGAATAAACTCTGGAAAACTATTGGCCGTCTGGAAGTCAAGGTAACTGGAAGTGCCCACTCCCAACACCCTCCTCACCCCACTGGGAGTGCGGCGGGGCCAGGAGAGGGGGTGAGGAGAATTCCGGCCTCAGAGAGAGCTGAGGGTGTCTGCTCTGCCAGCACAGACTGCAGCCTCATGGTCCTCAGACCTGGCTTTTTGAGTCACATCTCTACCACTTACTTGCTGTGTGACTTTGGGCAAGTTACCTAACCTTTTCAAGCCCCTGAGGCCTCAGCTGTAAAATAGGGATTACAGAGGGTTTTTAGAGGATGAAATGTCTGCTGTGCTGGCCATTACTCTCCAGCCCCCTAATTTTATAGATGGGGAAACTGAGGTCCAAAAAAAAGAAGTCTAGCATACATTACAACCCACCAGACCAACCAGCCATGAACCTCCCTGTTCTTCAAGCCCCAGGCCTTGCCCCTCTCCTCTCAGAGATCTAGATTCTTCCCACCTCCAAGCATTTCCCCATCTGTCCCCCTCTCCACCACATCATTGCTGAGAGTCTGGGAGACTCCCAGTTCACTAGTTCATGGTCATTGGAATGTCATGGATGGGGGATGCAGGGGGCTGGGGGGAGGCAGCTCATGGGCTGGCAATGACAGACCTGGTTTGGCTCACACGGTGCTCTCCCCCACCTCCAGTGCAAGAATGCCGAAGCTGGCTGCTTGGTGACATGTCCCCTGGCCCATCGCAAGAGGCACCAGGACTCATGCCCGTTTGAGCTGATGGCCTGCCCCAATGAGGACTGCACGGCACGGGTGCCGCGTAGGGCCCTGGCTGATCACCAGCAGCGCTGCCTGCATGGTGCCCAGCAGCGCTGCCCGCTGGGCTGCGGAGCCACCCTGGGCCCGGCTGAACGTGCACGCCACAGCTGCTACCGCGAGCTGCGCGACGTCTGGAGGCAGCGCCAGGAGCGCAGCCGAACCCTGGTGCTAGGCCTGCTGCAGCGCATGCGCAAGGTGCATCGCACCACCAGCCTCATCCGCTGGCAGCTGGCCCAGCTCGGAGACTTCCTGGAGGAGGATGACGCCCTGCTCGTGGGTGTCCCCCAGGAGGAGGCCGAGGCCACCCCAGAAGGCAGCACTGGGGCTGAAGTGTGGGGGGCCCAGCGCCAACGTACCTCGTAAATAGAGGGGTAAATAAATGTGGAGCCCAGGCGTGGCCCGCCCCGCCACGCCATCTCTGTGCTTGCTGGCCTCACCCTTATCACATTTGTGCCCACACCCCTCCCCACCTTTCCAGGCACTACTTTCACCCCGCAGGGACACTTCGGCATTTCTCCCTGAACCTCTACAAGTTCCTTCCCACCACTGGGTCTTCGAGTTGGCTATTCCCCTCGCTCTCCATTTGCCTGGTTTCTTCTTTCCACTTAAGTGTCTCCTCCTCGCAGAGGTTTTCCGGGATCATCCTCTCTCTGTCTCCTTCCCAGTGACTTTCTACCAATCTGTTTATCAGCTTCACAGCCAGCAGCACGAATGGCTCAAAACCCTGAACTCGGAGTACAAGCCAATTCCTCACAATGACCGTCTCTGACCTGCTGCTCTTCTATTTTCCTCCCTCCTCACTCCCTGCAGCCGCACAGGCTTCTGTTGCTCCTCCTAAACGCCAGGCCTGGCACTGTCCATACCTCAGCAGAGGCACCGGTCCCTCAGATAACCACAGGGTCCCCGCTTCACCGACTTCAGGTTTTTGCTCAGGTGTCACCTTTTCAACAAAGCCTCCTCCGCCACAGCACTTAAAATCTCGCCCCCACCCCCACCCCCCAGGGACCGGCCCATGGCTTATCAGTTAAGTGCTGGAGCTCCGCTACTGGTGGCCTGGTTCGATCTCGGGTGCCCACGGACGCCCCGCTTCTCCGGCCATGCTGAGGCCGCATCCCACATACAGCAACTAGAACGATGTGCAACTATGACATACAGCTATCCACTCGGGCTTTGGGGGGAAAAAAGGAGGAGGATTGGCAATAGATGTTAGCTCAGAGCAGGTCTTCCTCAGCAAAAAGAGGAGGATTAGCATGGATGTTAGCTCAGGGCTGATCTTCCCCACAAAAAAAAAAAAAAAAAATTGTGCCCCCGCCCCACTCCATCCCTTGCCCAGATCTATTCTCTCCACAGCACTACTCACCCGCCTTCCTCTGCCCAGACCTCACCCCACTAGCGCGTGAGCTACTGAAACGCAGGGGTTTTTGTTTTCCTCTCTGGTGTCGCCCAAGTGCCTACAACAGTGCTTTGCACATAGAATGTGCTCAATAAATATTTGAACAATTATGAAATTACCTGATCTATTCATTTACTTGCGTTATTTCTCATACCAGACCGTGAGCCCCGAGGCAGAGTTCACAGCTCTATCTATTCACGGACGGCACCCCCAAATCCCAGGATGCTCAGGGAGCAGGAGTATTGGGATTACTTTAGTACAAATATTTCCTACGAATGCCTTTTAAAATTTCCATTAAAAGGCGGGATAGCTGACAACCCCAGTCCTCTACCAATCTACCCGACCCGCCCGAGCCGCTTCCACGCCGCTCTACGCCCCACCCTCCAGGCCGAAAAGACCTCTGCCAGCTTCCGCTTCCTTATGCGGCAGCCACTGCCCACAGCAAAAATGGCGTCGAGCACGCGGTTCTGATGACGCCATAGTAGTCGCGGGTGGTGGTGTCATCACTGCGCGCCGGCAGTGCAGCGCGGCGCGCCGCACTCTCTCACGCGGCGGCGGCGGCATGGCGGAGGCCGCGGCGGGAGTGAGCCGCTTCAAAGCCAAGTGAGTCGGCACGCTGGGGCTGCGGGCGCCGCCCGGGGAGGGAGCCGGGTTCGCAGCCGGCATAGCGAAGGCGCCCGCCGTGGACCATGGACCGGGCGCCCATGCGGGTCTGGGGAGAGGGTGGGGGCTGCGTACGGACTGGCCCGCGGGGTCGTGGCGGTTGCGGTATTGTAAGGTGGGAGAGCCGGCACTGGCTGCTCTCCGGGTGGTCGGGCACTGGAGCCCGGGCGGGACCGCGGTTACCTAAACTAGGAGCCGGTTTGCGGGGTGAGGATGAGAAATCCCAGAGGAGGAGGAACGGGCGGACTGAGCAGAAGTCGAGGCTGGTTCTGGACGGGAGCAGGACCCTTCACCCCTCAGGTAGCGGCAGAAGAGCCACATCCGGGGCCGGCGGCCTGGGGAGCTTTCACCTGCTGTCCCTCTTCTCCGGGGAGCAGGAAGAGAGGTCAGGAGATGGGCGGGTCCTCAGTGGCCTGAGAGGCCCTGAATCCTGTGCGTATTCAATCTCCAAAGCTTTGCTGAACATCTAAGAGTGCTTAGTACTGGGGAGGGGACAGACAGCCCCACCGTGTGGAGCGCAGTCTGATGAGATAGACGTATTAAGCATTATTTCTGTCAGTGGTTGTGACAATCACTAGCAAAGGGAAACCCCAGTGCCTAGAGCACCTCTTCTGCATGGTCTGCTGGGTTCAGGACTTCTGGGGGTGGGGCGCTCTGTTTCATCCTGGAAATCAGGCTTCTCCCAGGGGAGTTAGCCAGGTGCTGCATACAGGGAACAGCCTGTGTGAAACTGGGAAGGTCAGCAGACGCTCCTCTGGGCAGAGCCTTGGAAACATGTAAGGAGAGTGGAGGGTTTTAAGGCAGGGTGGTGACACAAACCGAGTTGTGTTCTAAAAGGCCTCTCTGGCAGCAGAGTTTGAGAGAGTGGGTAGGGGCCTAGTGAAGAGGCTGGGACAGCTGTCCAGAGAGGAGAGTGCAGTGGGGTGGACCAGCTTGGAGGCAGCCAAGAGGGAGGGAAGAGGACAGTATGAGGCTACAGGAATGAGGGCTGCCTGGGCAGTGGGATGCAGGCCAGGCTGGAGATGGAGGAGGGAACCAGGGTTGGAGAAGGGACAGGTTGGACCTCAGGGATGAAGATGTTGAGGAGGATGTTGCTCTAGGCTGGTACCCAGGCCTGGCCTCTCACGGCCAGCAGGGGGCCCCCGGCCTGGCCTGCTCCCACCAGGGCATCTCTGGGAAGACTGGGTGTTGCACTGTCTGTGCTGCTGTGGAACCCTGTGTAGATCACTGACCAGCTCTGGGTCTCGAATCATCTGTAACGTGGGGGTACTGACACCCACCTCACAGCGCTGCTGAGACGGTTAAAGAAGAAAACAGAGAGAAGAGCTCATCACTCCCCACCCCCCTGCATCCCTGCTGCTGCACAGGAACTCCTCAAGGGCAGTGGCCTATTGGGTTGACCTCTGAGAGAGCACCCAGCACAGGGCTGGGCACTGGGAACCGAGGGTGGGTGATTCACTCTCTCCCTGTGTCCTCCCTTCAGCTATGCTGTCGAGCGCAAGATCGAGCCTTTCTACAAGGGCGGGAAGGTGCAGGTACAGCCCAGGGAGGGGCAGAGTCAGGGGGCAGGCAGGGTCTGCAGAGTTGCCTTGGCTCAGACCTCTTTGTCACTAGCTGGACCAGACTGGGCAGCACCTCTTCTGCGTCTGTGGTACCAGAGTCAACATCCTTGACGTGGCCTCGGGGGCCATGCTGCGGAGCCTGGAGCAGGTGAGGGCAGGGAGAGCCAGGGTGAGGCACTAGTGTGGGGGGCAGCCTATTCTCATGGTGCTCTGTGTGCCCACTCTTGTCCCTAGGAGGACCAGGAGGATATCACTGCCTTTGACCTCAGCCCTGATGATGAGGTATATGGGGCAGGGACAGGAGTTGGGCTCTGGTACCTCTCAACCAAGTTTTGAGTCGATGAAGACAGGTGACCATGCCTCTACCCCCCAGCTGAACTGTATCCTCCCCCAGGTGCTGGTGACGGGCAGCCGGGCACTGCTGCTAGCTCAGTGGGCCTGGCGAGAGGGCAGTGTCACCCGCCTATGGAAGGCGATACACACAGCCCCTGTGGCTGCCATGGCCTTTGACCCCACCTCCACGCTGCTAGCCACAGGTAGGGCCCTGGCTGGGTGGGTGGCCTGGCTGGAGGGCACACCAGCCCCCTCAGCTCAAACACGTTCCCACAGGTGGCTGTGATGGGGCCGTGCGCGTCTGGGACATTGTGCGGCACTATGGGACACACCACTTTCGGGGGTCGCCGGGTGTCGTACAGTGAGCAGGGGCAGTGGAGGGTGGGTGGGCAGGGCATCACGCTTGATGGCTCAGCTCACCGGTTCTGCCCACCTGCCTGCAGTTTGGTGGCTTTCCATCCGGACCCCGCACGCCTGCTGCTCTTCTCCTCAGCCGTAGACGCCACCATCCGTGTGTGGTCACTACAGGAACGATCCTGCCTGGCCATGCTGACTGCCCACTACAGTGCTGTCACCTCACTGACCTTTAGTGCCGATGGCCACACCATGCTCAGGTTGGTGGCCGGCCACCCAGGCCTTGGCAGGAAGGGGAGGGCCACAGCTAAACCCGGGAACTAAGGTGGCTGTCTCCCCTAGCTCTGGCCGTGACAAAATCTGCATTGTCTGGGACCTGCAGAGCTTCCAGGCCACAAGGACTGTGCCAGTGTTTGAGGTGGGGACACCAGGGGGCCAGGGCCAGTGAGGGGGGCAGGGCGAGATGGAGCTGCCACCTCTAACCCACTTGTCCTCAGAGTGTGGAGGCTGCAGTGACATTGCCAGAGGAGCCAGTGCCCGAGCTGGGTGTGAAGTCCACGGGCCTGCACTTCCTAACAGCTGGTGACCAAGGTGTGTGAGGGCAGGCAGCAGGGGCTGGGGGAGGCCCATGGACCTGTGAACCCTAGCAGCCCTGTCCCCGCACAGGCATGCTGCGCGTGTGGGAGGCAGCCTCTGGGCAGTGTGTGTACACACAGCCACGGCTGCCAGGCCCCGGGCGGGAGCTGACCCACTGTGCCCTGGCCCGCACTGCCGGCCTGCTCCTCAGTGTCACTGCCGACCACAACCTGCTGCTCTATGAGGCACGCTCCCTGCAGCTGCAAAAACAGGTGAGCGCCGCCTCTGCTCAACCCGCGTCCTGGGGCCCTGCCCCCACCCTCCGTCATGCAGGCCGTGGCTTGTATCCACTCTGTCCCCACAGTTTGCTGGCTACAGCGAAGAAGTGTTGGATGTCCGGTTCCTTGGGCCTGAGGACTCCCACGTTGTCGTGGCCTCCAACAGCCCCTGCCTGAAAGTGTTTGAGCTGCAGACATCGGCCTGCCAGATTCTCCACGGCCACACAGGTGAGGGTGCCGAGTTGATGTCCCCAAGACCCCATCCTGGACGGATCGCCCCCTCCCTGCCAGAGCTGATCTCTGTCCATTCCCCCTCCACTTCCCCCCAGACATTGTCCTGGCCTTAGATGTTTTCCGGAAGGGGTGGCTCTTTGCCAGCTGTGCCAAGGTGAGGCACCCCAAGAGGTGTGGAGGTACGGGTCCCACCTGGGAAGGTAAGAAAGCCTAGCCCAGTCTCTGTTCTCACTCCTTTTGTCGCCAGGATCAGAGCATCCGCATCTGGAGAATGAACAAGGCTGGCAAGGTGGCCTGTGTGGCTCAGGGCTCCGGGCACACACACAGCGTGGGCACCATCTGCTGCTCTAGGTAGCTGGTCAGGGCTTGGGTCCAGGGTGTCGCAGAGGCAGAGGCCCAGGCCTTGCTGATGGGGCTGCAGCTCAGGGAGACAGGAGGCGGTGGCTTTAGTCTTGCTCTTCAAGGCTACAGTCCAGGGATGTGGAACAGAAAAGAGGGGCCAGGGGCACCCGAGGCACTAGTCGGGGGTTCCTTGGAAGTGGCCTTAAGACTGAGTGGAGGGCCGGCCCCGTGGCTTAGCGGTTAAGTGCGCGCGCTCTGCTGCTGGCGGGCCGGGTTCGGATCCCCGGCGTGCACCGGCGCACCGCTTCTCCGGCCGTGCTGAGGCTGCGTCCCACATACAGCAACTAGAAGGATGTGCACCTATGACATACAACTATCTACTGGGGCTTTGGGGGGAAAATAAATAAATAAAATCTTTAAAAAAAAAAAAAAAAAAGACTGAGTGGATAAAATAGGAGAGGCATCAGGGCAGAGAGAATAGCACTGAACAAGGCCCAGGTGGAGAAGGCGCTCCCTGAATCTAGGGCTGGGGGTTCCGTTGTTGGGATCAGGTCGCCAGGTGTGGTGGTACCGAGGGAGAGTGGCGCAGGCTTATGTGTGGGCAAGTGGTCCTAGAGGTGTGTGGGGGTGACACAGGCTGTCTACATTCTGGGACAGTTCCTCTGGTCTGGCCTATGGTCTTGCAGGCCTGAGTTGTGGTGCACTGGCAGACATGGCTGGCCAGGGCTCAGCAAGTTGCTCCTCCTTCCCCAAATCGTACCTCAGGCTGAAGGAGACCTTCCTGGTGACTGGCAGCCAGGACTGCACCGTAAAGCTGTGGCCCCTCCCCGAAGCCCTGCTGTGCAAGAGCACAGCTCCAGACAGTGGCCCCGTCCTCCTACAGGCCCAGGCCACGCAGCGCTGCCATGAGAAGGTGACTGCACACGGCACACTGGGGCGGGGGTGTAACAGGGCCCTCGCTGGGATGAGGGTCCAAGCTGCCACCTGCTCCCGTCACCAGGACATCAACAGTGTGGCTGTGGCTCCCAATGACAAGCTGCTGGCCACAGGCTCACAGGACCGCACGGCCAAGCTCTGGGCCTTACCGCAGTGCCAGCTGCTGGGCGTCTTCTCGGGCCACCGGCGCGGCCTCTGGTGTGTCCAGTTCTCACCCATGGACCAGGTGCTGGCCACAGCCTCGGCCGATGGCACTGTCAAGCTCTGGGCGCTGCAGGACTTCAGCTGCCTCAAGGTAAGCTGCCCTCACCCCAGGCCTGGCCCCTCCGCTCAGTGACGTCTCATAACCTCCTCCTCCCCACCCTGCAGACGTTCGAGGGGCACGATGCTTCTGTGTTGAAGGTGGCCTTTGTGAGCCATGGCACACAGCTGCTGTCCAGGTGAGTGGGCTGGGGGCAGGAGGTGTTGGAGAGAGCTGAGGGACAGTCCCCAGCACTGAGCCGCCTCCCATTTCCAAACCCAGTGGCTCTGACGGGCTCGTGAAGCTCTGGACCATCAAGAACAACGAGTGCGTGCGGACGCTGGACGCCCACGAGGACAAGGTCTGGGGGCTGCACTGCAATCGGCTGGACGACCGTGCCCTCACTGGTGCCAGTGACTCCTGTGTCATTCTCTGGAAGGTGTGTGGGCTTGGAGAGTGGAGCAGGTAGGGCAGTGTTGGGGTGCCAGTCTGACTCCAATCTGACCCTAGGATGTGACCGAGGTGGAGTGGGCAGAGGAGCAGGCCAAGCAGGAGGAGCAGGTGGTCAGGTAAGTCTGGGGGTCCCCACCCAGCCCCTCTGTGAATGTCATCCGTGTGTTAGCATGACCCCCCCGCTCCCAGGGTAGTGTGTATCAGCATCACCCCTGCTTTATGGCATGGGGAAACTAAGGCTCAGAGCAGTGACACAGCTCACCACCAGTGGGTGTTCAGGCCTGGGCTGCTGGCTCTTGAGCCAGCCTCCTGATGGCTCTTCTTCAGCCCCAGCCAGGTCCCCCAGTAGCCTGTCCTCTCTCCTTCCCACCAGGCAGCAAGAACTGGACAACCTGCTCCAGGAGAAGCGATACCTGTGGGCGCTGGGCCTCGCCATCTCCTTAGACCGGCCCCACACTGTGCTGACTGTTATCCAGGGTCAGTGCTGCCTCAGGGGCCAGACAGACGGTGGGGGGGTCTCTCAGGGGTCCGTCATGCCCCTTCCCTGGGGCTCAGTCTTCCCTCCTCCAACAGCCATCCGGAGGGACCCTGAGGCCTGCGAGAAGCTGGAAGCCACAGTGTTCCAACTGCGGCGAGACCAAAAAGGTCTGGGCAGGCAGGCGGGGGCTGGAGGGTGACTAGCAAGGGTGCAGTGGCCTGCCGGACAGGTTTGACCATCCTTGTCACCTGCAGAGGCCTTGCTGCGTTTCTGTGTCACATGGAACACCAACTCAAGGCACTGCCATGAAGCCCAGGCTGTGCTGGGCGTGCTGCTGAGGCACGAGGCCCCAGAAGAGCTGCTGGCTTACGAGGGTGTGCGGGCCTCCCTTGAGGCCCTGCTGCCCTACACCGGTACGTGGGCACAGCCCTGGGTGGGGGCAGGGAGCAGCCCAGCCAGACTCCGTGGACCTCCTGACAGCCCTCTGTCCTCCCCCAGAGCGACACTTTCAGCGGCTCAGCCGGACGCTGCAGGCAGCCACCTTCTTGGACTTCCTCTGGCACAACATGAAGCTGCCCACCCTCCCTGCTGCCCCCTCTGCCCTCTGAAACATGCAGAAAGCTGTACTTTTCTACCCCAGCTCCCTTTCTTTGTCTGGGCTTTGTCCTACCCCAGGTCTAGGGCACAGCCTTGGCCACTCTGAGGGTGGGCCACCAGCCAGCCCCATCCCTGTGCCCTGGCCTGGCCACCATCCAACAGGCCCTGCCCTTCAGCACAGACACGGGGTGTGGGTCAATCAGAAGAGCTTTACTCAGAGGAAATAGCCTCCTGGCCCTGCCAGCCAGGGAGTCCCACCCTCAAATGCTCCTCCGCAGCCCTGAGGGTGGTATGGCTGCCATCAGTCATCCTGGGGGTCTGGAGCCTCTTTCCTGCAGCTCCAGCTGTGGGGTGCACAGTGCAGCCCTCTCTGCAATTCCACACACCTTCAAAGGGGTCCCTGACCCCTTAGGTCCCGCTCCAGTGCCCTACGGGTGATGGTGCAGCAGTGGCTCTGTATGGCACTCAGTAGGGGTCGGGCGGGCACCGTAGGGGGAAGGGTCGTGGCCTGGAAAAGCTCAGGGGAGCTTTGGGCCTCCCCCACGCTGTCCTCCCCACTGTCAGCCCCACAGTGGAGCCCTGGGCGGCTCAGGAGTGCACCCAGCCTGTCGGGCCGAAGCAGCACAGCTGGGAGAAGACCGGTGCGACCGTGGAAGCTGCGGGAAAGGCAGGAATTGGTTAGCACATGCCTGGTTGCGGTTAGCCTGGGCCCCAGCCAAAGCCCCACGCCCGCACACCTGCACAGCCACCAGCCGCGGTCTGACGTTTTCAGCACACGCACGCGTGCCCCCGCGGGCACTGACAGCTCATCAGCCTGTCTGCTCTCGTAGGCGCAGGAAGCACAGAACTGGGACCCTGGGAGTGGGTGCTTGGGGGTCACCACAGGGCCGCAGAGGCCGTGACCCCCACTTCTCAGTCCCCTAATCATCTCCCGGTGAATCACCACCCCCAGGCTCTCCCCTGGATCTCTGAGGACACACCGGACCACTCAAACCCACTGGGGCTTCTGCTTGCTGTGGGGACCAAGCACACACTGTGGGGCCGCTGCCACCACCTAGTTGTCCCACCACCTCACTCCCCTGGCTCCGGTGCTTCCTGTGGCCCACCCAGCCCTGCGCATACTTCCCAGTGGTGGTGGTGGTGTGAGGAGGAGGGTTAGTCTCATACCACTACTCCCTAGGGGCTGGCCCCCCTCTCGCCCCTGGTGCGGGGCCACCTCCAGGTAAGGAGCAGGAAACCACGCTGTCTGCTGGTCTTCATTCGCCACCAGCCACCAGCCTGTGCGCAAGAGGTGGGCGAGGATTCAGATCTGGAGGCCCGCTGGGAACCCAGGGGCAGAAGGGCGAGTTCCTGGACCTCTGCCTGGCCCCACCTGAGGGGTGGCGCAGCAGCACGTCCAGAGCCTCCTGGGCCTGCGCGTAGAAGGGCCGATCCCTTGTGTCCTGGGTGCGGAAAGGCTGCAGGCAGCGCAGGGTCTGAGCTTCCAGGCTGCGGATGGCGAGGCTGCTCGTGGGGCGGGGTAGGGGCTCTTCGGGGGTGGGCAGGATCACTAGGCTGGGAAGGACGGCGGGCGCAGGTGAGAGGTGGGTGGGGATTGGCCCGCCCCTTCCTAGCCTTCGCTCCTGGGTAGACCCTCCGCCATGCATCCCCAGTCCTCCAAATGCTTCCGCGGGCAGGGAGTTGGGATAGGGTCAGACACCTGCCAGGCGGCAGCGCGGGATCCAGGTCTGTGGGTTGCGGCGCGAAGAAGGCAGTGAGCGCTGGGCTGCGGGACACGCGCTCCGCCGCCGCCAGGAGCGTCTGCAAATAGTTCTCCAGCAGCCGCAGGCGCGCGAGGCCGCGGGCCGTGCGCCTGCTGCGCGCCAACAGCGATGCGTCTGCGGGCGCAACAGGGACAGACCATGGGACCCGGCTCCAGGGCTCCCCCAACCAGGCCGCGGCCGCTGCCGCTCCCTCCCCCTCCCGGGATTCCTGCCGGCCTGACCCGGAAGCTTGGGGAGAACGCGGTCGGATCTCCGCAGCAGGCCCGCCTCCACCGGGAAGGTTTCCTTGAGGGTCTTCTGAGGACGAGAAGAGGCGTATCAGTCTCCAAGAGCCCAGCGGGTTCCCTTGGGAGGGCGGGGGTCCCTTGCCGGGATCGTAAGGGCTGGGAGCCCGAGAAGGCAGGCACTCAGGTGGGGGTCATTGGTGGGTCATACACTAGGAGGCCGGTTTGGGGAACTAGGGTCACTCACATGAAGCCCCCTGAACTCGTCCCAGCTCCTGCGCACGAAGGTGTCGCTGTCATCCGACCAGCGCACAGAGAAGGCGAACGTCTGTTGGAGGAAAGGTTGCGGGCGTCTCCAAGGGGCTGGGCCGAGAACTCTCTCCCTCCCCATTGGAGCCGGCGGGGACCCCGTCGGGTTGTACCTGGAACCGCTCTGTCTGCACCAAGGCCGCAGCGCGCACGGATACGGGGTGCCGGGGGCCTGCCATCGCTGTGGCCTCTTGAGTCCCGGTCGCCAGCTTCTTGAGCCCGCTGCCTCCCTACCCTCTCAGAGGAGGGGGATCCCCCGCACCCGGAAGACTGGTTGGAATTCCCCAGCAACGCCCTAGACCTGCCAGGTCCTTGCAGTGCTGCCCTGCTCCTCGGTTCTTCGCAGCTTCCTCGCTGTGCCCAAAGCCAAAGATCTGGGTGGAGGGGCAGGAGCACAGGGCGCGGGGGGGTGCCCAAGGCAGAGCTGGTGAGAGGGGGAGGGAAGAGGTGGTGGAGGTGCCAGGATTGCTGCCTGAGGCCCTCTTTCCCGTCCGCCAAGGAGGAGGAGGAGAAGGAAGAGCCATCAAAGGGCCCCCAGGCCTGGCCCACCCCTCCCGCCTGTCCACGCCCCATGCAGTGCTGGGGCTGCTGAGAACCTGTGGGCAGGGGATGCCTCCGCGGGCTCTGTCTTTGAACTCACCTGGGGAGCTGACTGCAGTTGTCATCAGGAAACAATGGCCCAGTGCTAAGGGCTTTAAGTGCCTTATTTGGCTTAATCCTCACGTTGGAGGAAAGGTCTCTTAGTGTCCTCAAGTCACAGAGGAGGAAATTTGTGTTAAATGGATAATTAATGTCAGTTTTTCTGTCTGTGTTGGGGAGGGGCGGACCTCACAGGCTCACCTCAGAGGTTCCCCTGTGGTGCAGACAAGGCAGGAGGAAGAGGGTCCATCTCTGCAGTCACCCACACTTGGGGGTTGGGGGAGGTGGTGACTAGGACTGTTGAGAGCTGCCTCTAATTCATGATTTATCACAATTACCTGCAAACACTGCCTCTGAGATCAGGAGTGACCATTCCCCCACTAACTGGGGTGGTGAGGGGAATATCCTGGAATCCCCAAAGAGGGCGTGCCCAGGTGCCTCACCTCTCTGGACTGCTTTCTTATAGGGGAGATTTCCAGAGCCCCAGCCAACCCTGGCGCACAGTGGTTCTTCCTGCTGTTGGGGCCACCAGCTTTGTGTTGGGATTCCCCCTACTCCAAGCCCTCCAGGGAGGGGTCAGACTCTAGGGCATCCCTCCAGGAAACCACTCTGGCCTTGACAGAGGGCCTTTGTTTGTCTGTCTGACCAGTGACTCTCTCTGAACCTGTAAACCTTCCCTGGTCTTGGCCTAGGCAATGAACACCTGCTGACACAGGCCTGATTCACAGAGTGCCTTTTGCCTGGCTGTCACACTCTCCTGAACTTCAGAGGAGCCACGCTGAGGGCCTGAGGGCTCTGCTGGCCTGGCAGGATCCAGGGTGGAACAGACTCTGCTCCCCTGGAAGACAGAGGAGAGAAGGTGGGGAAGAGCCAGTTTGCTCACAGCCAGGGACCTAGAAGGACGCTGAGGTCCCCTCCCTCCCTCAATGGGCAGACCCTGCTCCACACCCTCAGCAATCCTCGGTCCTTTCCACTCTTACCCTCTCCATATTCCCTACCCTCATCTCTCACCTGAACAACTACAGCAGCCCCCTCCCCCAATGCCTGCGCTCCTCACTTGGTCCCATGAAATCCACTCTCCAGAGGAATCTGCAAAAGAGATTTTGCAGGTTGGTGTAGCCCTGCCCGAAACTGTCCAGCATCTTCCTACTGTCCTTAGAATAAATTCCTAGCTCCCATGGTAGCCTATGAGGTCCTTGGTGGGCCTCTGGCCACCTCTGGACCTCCCCTTCCACCACCCTCCTCAGGTCCTGCCCCACTGGCCTTTCTGCCCATGCAAGAGGCCAAGGCCCTCCCACCTCCAGCTTCAGCCTTGACTGCCCTCCTCAGTTGATTCGTCATTCTCAGGGAAGCCTCCCCAATTCACCATGCCCTATTCATGGCCCTCATCACAGTATGTAAGTGAACATTTACTATGGTGACTCCTATTTTTGTTTTTGTTTTTTCTGTCTTGACTGGACTATTGTAGAGAAGAGATTTCCTCTACCCTCTGGGTGCTTCTGGCTGGAGTATGAATTAAATTGACATGAGACAGAATAACAGGAGAAAATTAAACAAAGCTTTATAACATGTATACATGGTAGAGACCCAGGAAAAACTGGGTAACTCCACAAAATGGCGGAGGCTCTCATCTTAAATACCGTCTTCAGCTAAAGACAAAGGAGGATGTTGGGGGCAGTGGTTTGGGACTTCAAAGGGGAGGAAAACAATTCACATGGAACTGGAAAAGCAAATGTTTGGTAAACAGAACTTTGATAAGAATGGATTTAGCAAGGACCCTCCCAGTCTATTGATATCTAGAGTTATCTATGGTGATGGCCTGTCCTGGGGACAGGCCTTCTATCTTAAATTTCTTTTAGACAGTTGGGGGCCGGGCTGGGGGGGTGGGGGTCAGTTATGGGAGATTACCAGAAAAGCACAGTAAACAAGAGTAAGGTTATTATGCAGATTTAAGTCCTTGCCTTCTGCATGAATGAGTTGCTAGAGATAAGGTCATCCCCTCTTCTTCCTGATACAAAAAGGGAGATACCTTTACAGATGGAGATTTCCCTTACAAATGTAAATGTCTCCTACAAAGGGTAAATTCTACTTTTCAGAGTTTCTCCCATGTCTGCAGTTTTTTAAAGTAATAATGCTCATCAGCCCAAAATAACCCTCACGCCAAAGAGACACATTTTGGGGTGGCCAACTCTGATCCCCCACACTATGAACTAGCAGGTCAGGGACAGATCTTCTGCCCCGCCCTGCCCAGCGCCTGTAACAGTGCTTGGAACAGATTAGGCATTACACAAATATTTGCGGAATGAATGAATGTACATATGGAAGCAAAGGTATACCTGAGGACACTCCCGACGTGGGTGTAACCCCTTTATGCAGGTTAAAATGATCCGGGGCCGCTCGGTGCCCCCGGCAGCCGAGACACGCGCCGAGTTCTCAGCCGGCACCGCCCCTCCCAGCGTTGCCAGGCGCTCGTTGCCATGGCGCCGGTCGCCAGGGCAGATCCGTGGGACCCGGGTCCTAGAGCGCGGTCCTCTGTGCGCTCAGGGCCCCGCCCGCGTTGCCATGGCACCGCGCGGCCTGCCGCTGGGCGCGCCCCCAGCTGAGGGCACAAAGCCTGGCTGCGGGCACGCGGACGGGTCAGAGCGGAGTGATGGGGCCGTCGCGAGCTGCAACACGGACGGCGCCTGGGCCGCCCTCCGAGTCCTCGGCGCAGCCGCGGCGCGGCTTCCACCACACGCTGATCTTCTACTGGAGAAAGAGGGAGCGCCGCCACGGACAACGCAAGCCGGCCTCGGGCCGCGGAACGAGGCCCAGGGGCGCGGCCAAGAGCCGGGCCTCTGGCCCCGCCTCCGCCCCGGCCCGGGCCACCGGCCCCGCC